ATTTCGTTGTGGATACTTTGATTTCGTATGAAAATATCTAATGAAGAGATTCGTATGTCGATCTCACCAGAAAACGACGGCCGATTCTCGTTGTACTGCAGCTGTTAAGCTTTAACACAGTGCCCAGGTCGACACACTCCAGGAAAAATTCTTTCTCGTTTTGGGTAAAAACGGACTAAGACTGAGTGCGTCCTATGACGAACCTCATCAAATCTGGAACTTATTCTTACGAATGTTCCATAATACCATTAAGCCAAGAAGACTGTTAATCTATAATTGTCCATCGATGTCCATATGCTTTCGTTTTTAGTTGTGAGCATATGTGGCATGTAGCATGGAGCCGGATAGTCTTATTGTCCTTGTGTTAACTTGAAGATTGTGCAAGAATGAGTGCCGGATCTGACAATGTTCCTCATACGATGCACAAAGGCGCAACAAGTTTTTCTTTGAAACAAAAGCAAATGTCTCGTGAGCTGCGTCAACCTGAACGTGGTATTAAGGTTAAACGGCCGCAGAATAAAGAGACTTGGCCGTAGTCTTCTGGTGAAATCGGCCTATTCGAATCTCTTCCTCATACACTATAATACGAAATTAAAGTCCCTACAAAAATGTTACAGCCTTCCCTTCCAGAAATAAAGAGGAGAAAATAAAATAAATATTCAAAAGTATTTCACAAATTTTAAACTTATATACATAAGTTAGGTCATAATCTAAGTCTGATGAGCCCGACAATAATAATAAGCCAAAATTATGAATAACTATTTGAAGAATCTACCTCCTTCTCATAATCGTTACTTTAATGTTAGCACTTTTCTATTTGGCTCTACTATTTATTCCAGAATTCAACTGGCCTATCTGAGCCAGGGATTAAACACGAAAAGTGCCAGTAAACAAGACAGAATGGTCATAATAATGCAAAAATGGGGCCAAATTTGCTTCGGGCCTACGAGACCACTACTCTTGAATCTGCACAATCCCTCTTCCCGTTACCTTAAAGCCGGTAGACCCGAATCCCTGTTTTCGCCAGTCAGCAGACCCTACACCAGACTTTAAAGAGCATACTCGTCGAACCCAGTGAAAATGTGGTACCTCCTCAGACACTGTGGGGATGTTTGGTTGACTTACGCGATAGGCAACCTGCAACTTGGCTCGATCTTGAATAGTCACTACCAGATCTCTTAGTGGAACTAAGATGGAAGGTGGTTCAGGATGGTCAAGAGTCACTCGTGCCGAAGTTGTTGCTTCACCACATGCATTGGTCGCGCGACAGAGGTATGTACCAGAATGTACAGCTTTGTTGCTGCGGCATATCTAGAAATGGCAAAAAAAAGAATATGCCCTCAGTGAATCCGGATGAAAGCCTATTCAAGTTCGAATCGAGAATGGGGGCGAAAATAGTGAAAATTAATGTTTACTGACCAGTCTTAATGAGTAAAAAACATTCGTTGACAACTAACAAATAAGTCAAACAAAAGCAAACTATAAAGCTATGATGGGTAAAATGACTTGGTGGTACAATGTTGGGACAGAGTTGGGACTCAGGAAGTAAGGAATCTTTAGGCAGTTTTCTTTTTAAGGTCTGATTGAAATGAAATCTCACTACCACTCGTAGAAGTGCCTTGCTTCCCACCGTGGGTAATATTACAAATCTATTTTGTGTAAGCAATGAGCTAGAAGGACCCGGGGTTGCTCATCTTTCAACCAGCATGACTTTAGTCTCTAGACCATACGCATACTCCAGAACTCAAAGAGGATCTTCAAGAAGAACCTTTCGAAACAGTAAACTTGTACCTTAATCTAAATAATGATGGGTGATATTTAACTCTTGATTTCAGATCCATTCCTTTCGGGACTGCTGAAGTGACCGAGAAGAGGTAAAAATTACAGACCATCCTGTAGAATGGTCCAATTCTGCTGTTTATTACAGATTGCAAAGGCAATATTTCTCTTTTCTGCATTGTATACATCAAGAGACTGCTACCCGATGCATTTTGACTAGATAAATAAAAATTGTAATATAATTAATAAGCGATTTCATTTTTTTATTATATTCTGAGAGCTTGCAGAATACCTGCTTGCATGGAATGCTCATTTCGTATGATTATGATAAATTATTAGTCAAAATGGGTTTTGGATTACGTCTTATGCATTCATGTCACAATACCTACTCTACCGTGTGTATCACAAATGTCGTGGCTTGGATGAAACAAATTTGCATAGCAAGATAGCAAGATTTAAGAGGTATAAAGATTCGAGGCAAGAATAATTACCCGTAACTTGCACGTCCCACCGACGTTGGTAATGATAAAATCCGGACTGTCGCGCAAACGAAAGCCATCTTTGCACCATTGGACCACCGGTGTTGGCTTGCCTACCACCTGGCAGCCAAGCACGACCTCCTCCGTTTCTGTAGCATGAATCGGCCGTAAAAGTCTGGAAAAGGAAAATTTATCAATTGACATTAGCGAGGCGTTTGGTTATCCTTGAAGGTGAATGAGTCAGATAGATTGAAATCCCCTTCTCAGACAGTATTTACAGAATATATGTAGGGATATTGGTTTTCAAAGACTTAATTTTTTATTTATACGAGCCTTACCTACCTTGGGTTGCTCGAGGCGATGAAGATCTGGTAGTAAATTTTCCCAAATGAAAGGAAGTAGATCTCAGGATGCAACTAAAATTCGCTTAGCCTTGCTTTTAAAAAGTATTCACATCCACGCTGAACTGCATTTTCGACCTCGCTTCCGTCCCATCACCCCTCCTGACAATACTCGAACCTAGGTCCTACAATAGTAGTGAATAATTTAGAAATACTACCGCAACGCCCCAATGCCATGACTACGCGTAGGTCACAGGGCAGACGTCGATTTAAAGAAAGGCTAGGTCCCCCTGTATCACATTTTTGCAATAGATTTGTCGATAAAGCAAATACCTGCTTGGATTTACAGTCGACAACGCTACTGTGTTGTCCTTTAGGACAAACTGTCAAGTCTGGTAGTATCTTTTTCAGGGCACTCTTATCCAGCTCATTCAGGAAATCGGCAAAATAAAATGTTTAAGTGTGGCCACTACGAGATGAGTGAACTTGCTTGATGAAATGTGGCGGCTCCCCAACGCCAGCTCGAGGTATCATAACGACAGGTCTACGCTTAGGTTGGACGGTCTCATCTAATGCCTGCTGGGGAGATGTCTCGGTGACTGTCAGCTGACAAGAAGTTTCTGCTTGTCCATAGAGTGTGGTGATCCGGCAGGTGAATTCAGCTGTGTCCTCGATGAATGTCTCTTCAATGCACAAACTGGAGGTCCGAGGGCTCGTTCTGATTTCGTAGTCGGGAGAAGTGATCGGTAGTTCATCTTTGAGCCAGTCGACTTGAATATCCGATTCGTCGGTAGCTAAGGTTATGAAGGCGCAGGACAATGTGGAAAAAGAAATGTATTAATTATGATTAAAACGACCAAACACGTTACAAAAGAATTACAATTTTTAAAGTCATCTTCAATTCATTTTCAAATTTAATATGTTTTTTTGTCTTTGTGCAGCCTAAAAAGAGTCAGAACCTTCGATATCAAGATAAACGTCCTCCATCCCTATGGACTCGTCAAGAAGATACCTTGCGGGCTCGAATTAAATAGATTCCATAACTCATTGAAGAAATAAAGCATCACAAGTCAGCTGCACAGAAATACTTTATCGTTTAAGAACTTGCTAGATTACCCGTTCATACCGCATAATAGAGAAGATTTGCTCCATGTTGAAGGACGTAATTGTGCTTACAAGCACAAAAAAGTCTTTGTAAAAAGAGAAAAATACAGTCTCGATATCGCCTTAATCTAATACTTGGCTTATTATGCTCTAATATGGGGGCAGGCAACACACCTTTAATGCCATCGAAATTTTTATTTAGAAATTAGCTTAGATGGAAGGGATTTGAGTATTAGCCTAGTAGGAAACTGCTGGTCTGTGCGAAGTCATCTCCGGAGAGCCATTTTGATATCGCGATCATTCCTAGCTTAACTTTCGTCTGTCCAAATGTGACAGAAATATGCAGAAACAGAAAGTACTCCTTAAGAAACCTATGATCATACCTACCCCGTAGAGCCAAAACTTGTTCATTTTACAAAACGTCCCCTCATTTGGTTGGCTAATTTTCGCCTCCCCCTGCATTCTTGCAGGTGTGTCAAGTAGATACAAATGTGGCTGTAAATTCTATTTCGTTTCCTGAATGAAATCTACGACGATTCTTCAATAAGAGCATAGTCGGTTTGGGTCGTTTAAGGCGATTGAAAGACTGATAGCTGAGTTTTCCGACAATGAGATAACTAGGCCTGAGGATGACAGTCAATTTCATTCCATACAACCAGCGTTGCTGCACAAAAGGTTGTCTCATTTAGGAAGGACTAAAGTTTCGGACGGAAATCAAGCCGGGGCAATGAGTATCGTTGAAATGCCATCACTCCACTCCTCTACCCAGCCACGGAACCTGGGTGTCACAGGACAGATGTGACTACATTTCCAGTGAGAATGTTGATTGAGTAAAGATGTCTTTGCCAATGTGATCAACGATGTTACTTAATTTCGATATAAGTAATGTTCGAGACAAGCACTGTTCTTGAGTAAGAGCTTAGTCCCCATATATAGCAATGTTACTGTGAATCCTGGTGTTTCCTTTATCAATTGAGATGTGAGAATCCTAACCAGACTCAGGCTCCTACTACCTTTTATTAGTTGTAGATTTAATCCCGCTCCCAAGTAACCTTTTTAATGGGATTGTCGACGAA